AGAACTTCCACTTTGCAGCGGGATTTCAAAGGAGTGACGCTCGCTCGCATCAAGAGTCAACCCTAGTCACGTCGACGCCAAAGAGACGACCATGAAATTCGGATCTACCGTCTGCTCCGTAAATGCGTTCACTAATGAGTTTCCCAGAAGTGCTCTGATTGTTTAGCGCGATTCGCGAGAGTACAGCCACAACAGCGACCTGTACAGCGAGGCCGAGTCCATATTCCGCCACGCAAATCTCTCAGCTCCACGATGCGCTCTACCGCGATCCATTTGCTTCAGTTTCTCGTGATTTTCTACCGAGGGGCAAAGCCACGCAACTGAGGAATTCCTTCGCGCGCGTCATCGAGGGGCTCCAGGCCGTCCCGCTCGGAAACCGCCTCCGGGGTGAACAATCGACGAATTTGGGCAACACACGGGGCTTCGGTACCTTAAGAAACCTAAAATCGAAACTTAGGAAGAGCCCGCGTCTGGGAAACAATCTTCTCCTTCCTCCTTCGATCGGAAGACCCAGACGATTCTCCGTCGCTCCGCTGTCCCAGAAACGATAAAATTCGCTCGCTCTCTTCCCACGGGCGATGCTGTCCCGGAGTCTGTTTGACCTCGTGTGTTTTTTGGGAAACACAATCGAATCACGCCCTGAGCATAGCTCACGCAAGCCAGATCGTCCGAGAGGCTGACGTCGTCGCTCTCATTAGCGGATCAAAGCCAGTGCAGACGAACACGTTTTTAGGGAACAAGCTGGACTTGATGGTGCTTTCAGATGACTGCGACTAAAAACCTTGCGGGGTGCGAGAAGGCCTAACTCGGCCTCGTTCAAAGAGCTGATGAGCGTCGAGCGTGAACCGTTTCGAGTCAAAGCGTTGACTGAGAAGCGGTGGAAGTCAAGTCGAAACCCGCTCAGAATTATCTTCGGCGAACGCGCGGACAAATATCGCCGCTTCCTGCTGCAACAGTTGGACTGATCGAGCCCGGTCTCAGAGCTCGGTTCCGAACACCCTGATTACGATAGAATGACCCACTGGGTTCACCACTGCCCGTGGAACAGCAGAACTACAGCGAATCTTATAGCTTCAGACGAGATTCGTTTCGGTCGACGCCTATCGCCGCTGGCGCTGCGAGGCAGAGATCCCACGATGAGGGAAAATCTGAGAAGGTAGTCATAACGACATCGGATGCATGAATCGCAGTCGCCGTCTATTGAATTGCGGGAATGGTGGAACTTGAAGGCTGCAGCTCTCGAGAGCTGGTCTCCCTTTTGGCATTAGGGGCCGATCGAAGCGTCATTGCCGGATCAAAGGAACTCAAAGCCGAGATTCGACGTCTCAACGAGTTCCTGCACGCGGTACTCGTTGAATACAGAGTTTTCCACCTGGTTGAACTTTTTCAGTAGCTTCCTGCCAGACTGTCAAGATATCAGACACGGAGGGGTCGCCCGGTGCATTCCGAGAGCTGATCTCGATGAGCTTGCTCCGCTTCCGCTCAGCTTTCGAAAGAGGCGGTCATCAGCACTCACCTTGGGAGCTGAATACAACACGATTAATGTCTCGTCACGAAGCATACGTAACTGCTTGTGAGGGCTCATGGAGATTCGGGATCGACGCGAGTTCTGCTCTCGCCTTCCGTTCTGGCGAAACCATGTGACGTGGCCCGGAGGAACGAAGCGCTGTGCAGACTCCATAAGAAGGCCCACAATTATTCTGAAGCTGTAACCGGGTCTTGGGTGCCCGCAACTGGAAAACACATTCCTTGTTTAGTGGTTGATGCTGAATGTGTGCTCTCCGGCCTTTCGATCGAGAAATTTGGCTTTGTCTGGGCTCCTGAAACATTCGTTGTTGACCGAGGGAGCAGAACGAGGTCGCATGCAGGGGAAAGATGTCCTTAAGTCCATTTTTGCGCTCGACAGGGAGCGAGAGCCAGCAGAGAGGTACAGTGCGACGTAGAGGGCTGGGAAGGTAGCTCCAGAATGAGTCGGGACTTTCCGTCCGGCTAGTCTCCGTTCCGCCCAGGCTCCTCGATCATCTCGTCGGTAGCTGCCACGGACAAGAAATGAGGGGACATGCCGTGGTTTAGGTCCACTTTCGATAAAACGGGGGATTCCTTCGCGAATTGGCCAAGCTCTCTCCTCCAAATAAAATGAAATATTCTGAAACAAAACACGGGAGCCCCTCATGTCAAGGATGGTCTACCGATGAAGATGCACTCAATGCCCCCTGATAATCGCATCAAGATCCGTAAGCCCCCTGCCCCATGCCGGACTCCGCTACTGCCCCGACGGTCTGTGGAAAGTACCGGAACGGGGCTTTGCCAGCAGCGTCGCGGAGATGAGCCACAGAAATCCGCCTGAAACTCTGGACGTTGCTCCACGAAAGAAGTCTCTCGCATCTGTGGTGCGAAATGGGATGCGACGATCCTCGGGAACGACTTGTGGCGGACGAGTCTTTCGGACCTCGGGACGATGAACCTTCATGAGGGGTAGTGACCACGCGCAAAAGGTCGATCTACCTTGCCGGGAGCCGTGCGGCCCGGTCTCACGTGGGTATCGTGAGACTTGAGCTTGTCTCCTCGTCCTCGAATGTACCGGAGAAATCCGGTCCGGCTCTTTCGTCTCGATGAAAGGCTTTGGAAACTCACCGAGCTGAACATCGGAGAGCCTGTTATTTTGCGAGTGACTTGATACACTGGGAAGCCTTTACGGCGAAGTTGATGAAAGCTCGTCCTTGAGACGAAACATGTCTCCAGCGGAACACGAGAAAGTTGAGCTTGCGCGCCTCGTGGAGTCGATAATGAGACTTGCAATAATGGTTCATAATACGGGCTCGGCATACGACTTCTAAGCTGCAAAGTTCGGTTCTAGCTCCCGGAGCTTCATTGCGGCTTGGCAGATCATTACGGATGAGCGAACCAAAGTCCCACAATGCGTTAAGCACAACGAGAGATTCCGATGGTACTATCCGTCGAGTTTAGCATAAAAAAAAGTCGAGCCCGTTCCGGCAGGTTCCGCCGCATCCGCCGATTTGTCCGTCTGCGCCGCAGAAGCAGCTTCTCCAATTTTCCATCAGGCAACGTTCAGAGCCGCGACGCATCGAAAATCCGCCTGTTTCCGCATCGTTCCTCTTTGAATGAGATTCTGTATCTAATCTCATCGAACTGCAGCGAGGGTTCCCGGGCACGACTCCTATTTTCCGTTCCGGCGACGGGACGGTCGGTGATTCGTGAGCTCGAAAATGAAAAAATGATTTTCCGTCGCCCTCGCCTCCCGCAAGACGCAAATCGCCTGCAGCTATGGTCCGTGAAAGGTCTAGGTATCCACAATATGAATAAGGCTGAATCGAGGTTTTTCGAGTCCCGCATCGACAGATGTCGAGGCCAAAAGTGCGGCTTTGACAGACGGCGGGATCGGACGGCTCTGTAGAGCAGCGAGGCTCTTATTTGGCGTAGCTAGAGTGGAGTCGCTTGCGTTATTAATGCACGTCCGTACATGTATCATAGTCTCGTTTCAGCAAGAGCACACCGAGCGCCAGTGACAACGCAAGCAATTTGTTGTGCCGCTCCATCGAGATTGATGATTGTCTTCTGAGCCTGCAGCTCAAAAGAGGCTCGAGACGGTGCCTGTTTGCCTTCGACTCCCGCGAAGCACTGCCAAGGTCCCGGCACTCCGACGTGATCACCGACGGAATTCTATGCGGGGTCCGGCAAATATGTCCTGTGGAAATCTTTCGAAAAGAGGATGTCCACCGGTTCGTCCGCGCGCAAAACTCGTCCTAATCTTTGATAACCTCCGGAGAGCTCGCCGTCTTTTCCCGGCCTTCCGCCGTTCTCAGCGCGCTGTCTCACCTAATTTTATGTAAAGTATGCAGTCCGTAGGGAAGCCATTTCGGGAAAAACGCTCCGCGACGGAATGAACGGTCCGAGAACCCGCGGTGGGGTTTTCTCTCGCTTCCTGGCTCGCGGTGTTCCGATCCTTTGAGGATGGAGAATTCATAGACGTCGTGAAGAGTTTGCCTTCCCGTTTCATTGAATCCATCCCATATTCATTGAGTCCGAGGAAGTAGTTTTCCCGACTCGCCGAGTCGCTCCGCACGACATGCTGTCTCTCAATTTGTAGATAGTCACTCGCTCACACAGTCCAGCAAGGCGAGTCTGTTCATCCGGAGCATGGCGTATTAATGTTTACCCGTTGAGAGTGGAGCTGGAGCTCGGGGTCCAGCGGGGGAAAACGGAAGATCCGGGTCATCGCCGCAGAATTGACGCAGAAAGCTCCGGTCAGCAGAGGAGTTCCTTCCATTACTCGGCACAGAACGCATCTCGAAATTAAAATCCGGGTTCGTCTGCGGCGGACGGCAGAGGAATATTTCCTTGGGCTCACAAAATAATAAACTTGTTTATTTTACAACATAACATCTTCTTCGACACGAATATCTCGGAAATGAGTAAATCAACCGTACACGAGGCAGTTTCACACAAGTATTCCTCCTTTGTTGTCTAGATCCTTCGCACGCTAGATAAGTTTACATAGGATTCTCCCCGATCCGATACCACAGCTCCGGGCGTTGGCATTGCCGCGATTGCGGTAGCTATCGGTGTATACGGTCGCGCCGAACAAAACTGCCAGCGTAATCCTACGCAGCTCGCGTTCCACAATTGTTGCAGTTTGCGCGAAGGAGGAATTCTATCCCTTCTTAAACGAAGTGAAAAACTCTCCTGCGAACGAGCGGCTAGGGCATCAGCAGCGAGAATAGATTTCCTTTGATAACAACTGTTGTTTTGGCACGCTATTGTCGTCTCTTCCTTCGTTTGAATTTGGTGATTTGTCGATGGAGGGGGCATTTTTCTAAGGGAATCGGAGAGCGACTTTGTCAATAGTTTTTGGGCGATTTCGGTCGCTGTCGCGGGGTCTCTCCGCGATTTCCTGTTGGGATTTGGGTGGCGGCACTCTTCTGAGACATCGGTAGTTCGACTGACGATTGATGGGTCTTTAAATACTATGGTTTCGATGCCTATTCGTCATCGTACTTTACACCTCGTTCATCGGAGCTTTGGTCTTCGTACTGGTATTGAGCCTGCTGGTTCGAAGCAGCCGGTCGATAGTAAGGGTTCTGGCCGGCCTGTTGCCCGCCGCGATACTGCGCGTACGGATCGTATGCCTGAGCTGGTTGCGAGGCCGGCTGCGAAATGAGAGATACCATGATTAGCATTGAGCACTGCCAATGTCGCGGAGCTGACCGAATCCTCCAGATAGGAGAATCCTCAAATCCTCCGTGACGGTAGATAATGTTCCCTGTACCAAATACGAGAATATTTCCAGAAAGCCAAACTTCAGGAAGGAAATCAGCGCGATCGAAAAACACACGTCACGATACGTCGGATGGGAGCCGAGGTCCCGACCCGATGACAAACTCGCAGAGGCTTGACGTCGAAGAGAAAACACTAGCGACGATCCGCGGAAATGTTGATCTTCCCGCTATTGTCGATAAGAAAGCTGAGCGTGTTCTTACCTGACGGTAGCCAGCGTTGGAGGCGGGCTGGGTCTGTCTGTAAGCTGGCTGAGCCGCCGGTTGAGCTGCGGCCTGGCGGTAAGTGACTCCTGCGGGGGCAGCAGGACGTTGGGCGGGGGCTCGCTGCACGGGGCGGGCTCGAGGTGCGGGTGCGGGTTCATCATCGTACTGCTGAGCGAAGGCGGGGGCACGGGCGGCGGGGGTCTGCTGCGGTGTGGTGGAGAAGGAATCACCGTTGGTAAAGCCCTCGGGATAATAACGGTCGGCGTAGAGGATCGTGTTGTTCGGTCCACGTTGTTCGAGCTCCTTGTTGAGGTAATCGTTGACAAAGTAATACTTTTCCGACGAGCCACAAATGTCCTGGTCGGCGGGTACGCAGTTCAAGTGAACTTGGTGGAAGACGGTGCCTTCGGCGCACATAAACGAGTTCTTAGCTCCGCCAATGCAGTAGTGGAAAGCCTTGCATTCGACTGAGGTATCGGCGTAGTATCCGTCCTTCTTGCTCTCGCATTTGAAAGTGGATCGCTCGAGGAGGAGCTCCAGAGGAGATGGCTTCGCTTCCTCCTCTTCTTCTTCCTCCTGGGAAGATTGTTGGGAAGCCACCTTCCTCGCGGGAGCCTGACGGGACGACTGCACTGGTCGTCTCGCGGGCTGGGCCTGCTGCTGTTGCTGCTGGTAATCGTATTGGGAGTACTGCTGGCCTTGTTGGTACTGCGATGTGGGTTGGTACTGCTGCTGTTGGGATTGGGCGTAACGAGCCTGTTGGGTTTGAGCCTGAGCCTGAGCTGATTGTTGGGCGGGATAATACTGCTGCTGCTGCTGCTGAGCTTGACGTTTTTGCTGGAATCGAAGAAGAGACAATGAGTTGAGATGAGTTGAAAAGCCGCCCAGGAAAAGCCGTAAGTCTCGAACGTTCCAGGCGGGAGAGGCTGGGACTTCTATTTTTCCGCCGGACCGGCCGTTCATTGAGAGGGCGACAGACATGACTCCCTCTGAATATGGGTTCTCGGCTCCTTGGCGACTAAGCAGATCGTCCGCGGGTTAGTTTGTCTAGCCGGTCGGCTCTTGCGGCACGGCCCTTCTGCTTAGACGGCAGGACGCGCTGCTCGATCGAGAGAACGGAATACTCACCCTATTTTCGGCACACACGACACCGACCAGGACAGCAGCGACAACTAAAGCCAACCTCATCTGCAATTCGGAACAACGAGCTCTTAGTTATCGGGAACTTTGCGAGTGCAAGGAATAGCGATGTCAGATGGGAAACTCCCGCATGCGGAATCTTCGCCGTGGAAATTGACTCGCGTAGAGCAAGAAGAGTCGAGAACAAGTGCCTGAACGCTTATCGATCGATTAGCATGTCCATGAATTTATTACTATCGCTGGATGAGGCTTGTGAAAGAAAATGGAAAAATATTCCCGTCTCCGTCGCCATCATCATCATCATCGATGTTACGTGCGCGGGAAGGCAATCGAGCGGCTTCCCGACTTTGGATTGTTCAGTTACGCAAAAGACGCGCCCGGCCAACGGACGAACGGACGGGCCGACTGGTTTGACCGGTGCTTCGAAATTTGATTTTTTTTGTTCTTCTTAGTCCGTCGCTCCGTTTGCTTGCAACAACAAATTCATTCAAGTAGTTTTGGGTTTCCGGCGTGCCGGTTTGGACTGCTGCTGTTGGGCGTTCCTTAACTCCCTGGATCGCCGCCCGCCTGTCCGACTCGCCGACGAAACGGTAAGCCAGCCGACTCAGCGTTATGTAACGCTCCGACCCTAAGCGAACGAGCGGAAAAAAATCCGCTGCGCTATCTTCACACCAAGTCGCCCCGCGTCCCCATAAAAATGTCAAACGAGTCATGCGAGAAATAGATTTTAGACGAGAATCGGTAACGGGAAAAGAATTAGGGTTTGGCATGAATCTCGTGAGGAAAAAGACGTCTCACTTTCTACAACCAAACCCCGGGGATCGGAGCAGCGCGGGGTCGATCTGGGCTGGACAGCTCGACAGCGAGATCTCGAAAAATCGTCTCGGAAAGCTACGACAAACACCTCAACAGTGAGAAAAAGAGGTTACGCCGAAAAGCGTAGCTATTGGCAATTATTGGTCCCAGGGGACCGTCAGTGAAGAAATATTTGAAGCGTTAAGAGACACTTCACAGCGTTGGCGTCGCCTTGGTGCCGATTGGACTACGAGCTGGGTCACGAGTGGATGAATGAATCGATTCGTAAGACCGCCGCCCGATCAATCGCTCGCAGATTCGCGCGGCCCGTTATTAGCCCGCGACCACTCGGCTGAAGTAAGTGACGAAACTGAAGCGCGCCCTTGGTCGACCTTGCTCACCGCTGCTGTCACCGAATCAAAAACACGTTCAAGCACCCGGTTCAGATTCTTCCCCAGAAGCCGGCCGAGCTAGGGCTCCACACCGCTCTCTCTTCCCTCAAGATGAAGAGAAATAGCGAGGCTAGTGAAGTCGCTCTCGCAAGACCGCTCTCACGTCGAATGGCAAAGCGTTTCACAGAGATGTGAAAGCAAACGACAATGTGCTAGGCTCGGCGTCGAGGTAGCGATAGAGAGATTCGCAACTGATGGGTAATCACCCGATGGAAAAATTCGAATCCACGGGGATTTTCATTTCATTGGAAAACCTTTCCGAGGAGAAGAGGTGGTATTTCGTTTTCTGGGAACCCGCATAGCGATGTAGGCGGCGTCGGCGTAATAACCTTCAAGGTCGGTAGAGATGTACGTACGCTCGAACGTACATAAGTGCCCGGTGTACAAACATCGTTGCCTGCTCTGACCGTTGATTGTCAACATAGACGAGCGCATTCTGTACATGGTCGGCAGCGAACGAGCTTAGCAGCCTAACAGAATAAACCTTTTGCACGTTCGTTCGCTCCCACCGGTACTCCTCGAATGCTGCCAAAACTAGACCGACGACAGAGAAGGGAAAACAAAGAGCAAACGGACAGCAATGAAGGCTCCAAGAAGGAAAGAGACGGAAGACAACGACAAACTCGAGTCGAAGCCGGAGTGCGCCGCCGAGGGAAGCCGTTCGCGTTCCCGCGAGAATCTCCCTCGATGAGCCTCATATAGTTTGTCTCTCGCTCCTGCCTTCGCACGTAAAACCTGATGACATCGACACTGGTCGTTGAAGGGCACGGGGGGAACTGGGGGGCGGGGGCTGTCAGGGAGATCCTCACAAGTTCCAGCACAGCGAACATCGCTCGGGAAAGTGCGGGTTCGTGGGGGAGTGGAAGCGACTCCGACGGCATCACAAGCCCGAGCACGTCGTGATAAGGGGGACACCGAGTGAACGTCTACTGGAAGTTCGGGAGTGCAAGAAAAAACGCCCTCATAATCATTCCTACCTTGGCTGATCGTGTATCCACTGACAATGTGTATCACTGCGGGGCAACGCTTTGCGTTCGCTTAAATAAGCAAGCTTTCTCTTACCCACGTCGCACAACACTTTCTCTATACCGACCGTCAGTGGTGATGGTGTTGGTGGCGGCGGTGGTGGTGGCAGCCGCCACTACGGCGGTAACGGCTTCACCGATGGCTACAACTTCGGCAGATGCAGAAAGCGCGGGTCTGTGAGTCCACGCAGCCCATCGTCCATCCATCGGCCTCCGGTAGACTTGTGAGCAGTCCCTCAGTCTGTTTGGCCACCGCTCATTCGTCCGTTTATCTTCGACGAGCCGCTCTAATCCATGCGTACAATAAAGGCACGAAATAGATGCAGCGAGACGTCGAGTCGAAGGACCACGCCCGAGATTATCTGCTCAGTCGAGTGAATCCGGAATTCCTATATCCGCCTATTGAAAGCATGGACCTTCCGACTGTCTCGAATCGATCGGCCGTCGAGCGAAAGTTACGGCTCGTCTACGGGGAAAACGCCGCTTCTCCCAGGGAGGAAGCCGGCAACGGCCAGGTGATGCTTTATTTATTTTCCTTCGTGAGTCCGTGTCTGAGCTTCATGTTGTGCTAATCCATGGCATTCTGGTCCTTATCGAGTACGGTCTTGACGAGGATACCTCGAGCATGACCTGTCCGACCGGAACGCGGGAGAGAGCGAGAAAAACTGGAAAATACGCATACCGGCTCCGCCGGAGGGAAAACTGGCTCTCTTCCCCGGAACCCAGAATCATGAGCGATCAGTCCGGGAACTTGGCCGGTAGGTGTGATTCTGCATGCTCCGAGCAGCAATTATCCGGAAGCTAATGAACGCCGCGCCGGGGATACTTTCGGCCTGTACTCGTAATTAAACTTGGGAGTCGTGTCAGAGAATATCGTTACCCCGCGTGGTATGCCAGGCACGGAAAATCGAGGAGAGAACGGGTCGCAGATCTTGTTTCGACTCAAACCTGCAATAGTCTACCGAGGATTGTTCGGTATTGAGCGATTCCAGATACCTGCTTCACCACCAGCTACACGTTTGGAAAACGATTGGAAAATTATGACTCCCAGGTGTGATCTGTGCTTCATGAGATAAGACTTATCTTTCGTAAGCCCGTCGGCACCGCCTTCACAAGTCACTTCCAGCGAGCGCTGCCTATCTAAGTGAGAGAAAAAAAAGTTAGATCAGACTTCGGTTGAGTTAGAGAAAAAATCGGAGAAAAATGTGTTAGTTACATCATCTTCCAGACTTTCGTTTGTGTCGAATTCGTCATTGGAGACACCCAGTTCGGTCGTCAATCTTCGGTTCTTCACGCGTTCCGCCCTCAACCTTGATGACAAGCATCACGACAAAAAAAACTATAATATCGAAGAAGACCGCCGTCGCCGGGATAATTGACATGTCGGAATCTCCGGCTTCAGGGCTTCGAATAAAGGGTCGATTTCGACATCGAATTCATCCGACGAAAATCCACCGCACTCATAGAGTTTCCTAGAATGGTATCTGTACCTACGCGCGTGGAAAGTCTTCAATCTTCTTAAGACCCACGGATTCGCCCCCACTTATGTCTCATGTACATAAGATGTGACATCGTCTCTTGAGGTGTACCCCGAGTCTCAATGTGCTTGTCAATACGCCCCCGATCAGTGACTTTCTATTCCAAATCGAATAGCTGCTGAGCAAATCGAATATCTACTGGAGCTCGACGGATTCCCGTCGGACTCCAGCAGAGCTAGAAGAAAAAATCACCGTTTGTGTGCCAGAAGTAGAATTAATCAGTCAATCCATGTAGTAGACTCAATCTACCATGATTGGCTTTTTTATTATGATTGTGCAACGCCGTGCAACGACGACCGCAGATGACATTATCGCCAGCCGTATACCAATTGCCTCGATGACTACTCACCTAACAAAGCCGTTGCGGACGTAATGACGCAGACTCCATTCGTTTGAGCTTTTTCCCCCCGAAGCCCCGCCCTCTACCTCGGCTCAGCCGGCTGAGATTCGTAGCTATCGAAGGCTAGCGATCATATGTTCATATCATCGCACGCGAATGTCTTCACAGAAAACCATCATCGCTTTATCGTGTAGTCGTAATCGTCTACCTATGATGTCTGCATACGATGTAGCCCGCATAGTACTGACAATACGATTTCAATTCCACAGGCTGTGGGGAGAACTTCCGAAACGAAATTCCATCGGATCCTGAATCCTTAGTCAAACCCGAAACTTGGGATGGGTTTGATGTTCTCAGCTCCGAATGGATTGATTCTTAGCTCTTCTCAGCTCGCGCGACTCGAAAAATCGGAGAGAGGCTACAGAATTCTCTCACATCGGAGTCAGGGACGGGTTCCTTCAATGTCACTCGCTGTCCACGATCAGTCCTGCCGAATATAGATAAACTTGGATCGAGCTGAATGAACAGGACGTTTAGAATCGTGAACGGAGGATCAAGCGCGGGAAGGCGCTATACACAACCGGAACGAGAAACTGCTCTCCGGCTTCTTCCGATGGAACTTTTTCTTCCTCCAGGAGGGATCGATTCAGTTGATGAGGTTCCATTGTACATCTCTGTACCTCTATGTCCCTGCCTAATTGGAAGGATCATTGTTCTCGAAGAAACGATTTCTTCCCTCCCCAGTTGGCTCGGACGACTGACCCTTTAGCGTAGAGGTCCTCGTGGGATGCCTCTGCCAGGGCCGGGCCGCCCCCCGCCGATACATCTGCCTTGGACACGATGGACTTAACTATCCGAGGGTTCCCCTTCGTGATTCTTGTCTCGCGGGGTTATCCTG